TAGGGTAGGGAAGGAGTGAACTCTTGAGCAATGGTGTTAAAAGACTTACTGAAGTCCTGATATAGCAGATGTCCAGGACTCCCACTAGATGAACTGCACCATAGCTCGCTCTGTACCCTAGCACTTAGCGCACTCTGTTCTGTGTACTGAACCTGAGCTGTGTGCCATCTTCCTTCTAACCTCCAATTAACTGAAACTCAGTTTGACCTTGCACAGAATTGAGAAGATTAGGTACCACGGATTTTTTTCCTTTTTTACTTCTCTAAAGGTATTGTATTTGGCTTTCTCCAAATATAGAAAAATCACTTGCAGTTCAATTCTTAGCTTCAATACTCCTCATACATAGCAACTTTATATTCTTATATTTTTAGGGTGGTGTTAACTCAGCACCCTGTTCCCAGAAAGATTGTCTCAGAACAATGTTTATACCAAATTAATAGAAAGCTGTGCATTTAAAAGTACAATCAAGATTTGAAATTCACATCAAAAAAAGTTCGCAGAAAATTTATTTCCATCAGCCACACGGACAAAACTGACTGCTGTTTCATGACTTGGTTCTTTTCTTTCAAGAAAACAGCTCTAGTGTGAATGCTTTCAAAACAACTAGTTCTAAGTTCTACTCGGCTCAAGTCAGCCAAAGAAAACATGTAATTTATCTTATTCATTTGTTTTATTAGCACTGGTATTCTTGTAAAGCAATCCCAAATACATTTGGTTTGTGGTACTTCCCCCCCCCCTTTTTTTTTTTAAAAATAACTGGGTAGGATTTTCCATACTGTTTGTACAGTGGTAGCATCCAGAGACCTTGTAGAAGAATTATAGCTTTTTTTTTTTTGTATACACAAGTATGTGTGCAAATACCATACTGGATAGCTGCAATTTAAACACATTTAGCTTATCTGCAGTCTTGACAGCAGTCATGGCCAGGTTACATACATATCATAGTGGGCAGCCCTAAGCAACTTGGGCAGCATATTACTTAATGTACTGTCTACTCTAGCCCTGCTGGAGCCTCAAGTTCTTAACCTACTACTAATGTACTTCAAATTGGGTGCCTTTGCATGCATCTTCTAGTACAGCACACACTCTTTGTTTCAGTAATAAGCTTTAGTTTAAGGGCAGGAAGCATCTTCCTATGTGTAAGATAGGAAACACCTCACCAACGCCCTGCTTCAGATACACCAACTGATGTTAATTAGTCCACAAATAGTTGACAAAGTGCAATTATGGAGTTAATTTATTCTCTAGTTGAGCATCCTGATATTGATTAAGTACCAAAACTAAAGGGTTTCTGAAGAAAGAACACTCAAAATACGAAGAACTGGAACAAGCAGTTCAACTGTATTAACAGTTATGTTTAACTTTCCAGATGGACTTCATAATATGCTGAGATGTCTATCAATGTGCTGAAAGTAGCAAGGTCATAACTGCAAGTACTAAAATGCACAGTAATTTACACATCTTGACTGTTTCCCACAGGCACTGAAAAAGTTCAGTTGTACCATTTTGAAAACTTAAATTTGTTTGAAGAAGATGAAGACACTCAAAACCCCCGTCATATGTAGAGAGTCCTAAAGGGCAACAGAAAGCACTGAAGTTCACCTCACATCTCGGCACCATGATATGGCAACAGCAGAAATCTAACACTGAAAGTACTAACAAGTCACACCTACTGATACTAATCATTTAGAGAAGCAAGGTACAGAATTAGGTATAGAATCTTGAGAAAAGATTAGAAAAACATTACTTCAGTAATATTTTTTTAATTAGAAGTAGTGAGAAAGGAGAACAAATGCAGCTTTTTAAAAAAATGGTATTAAGGAAGACGCGGGAAATTAAGAGTCACTGACATACAAAATACAACAATATTTTTCATTTCGTAAAAACTGTTATGCTTTAACAGAGCTTTTTCTGCCAAACTCTTTTCTATATATTAAACTGAAGTAATTATCTAAAAGGAACTTTGTTACTTTCAAAGTGGCAATAGTATCTTCCTATTTAATAAAAGAAGTTCTCAGAAGAGAGGAAAACAGCTAGTAAGAACATAGTTACTACCAATCTCTAAAACTTATATGAACTATCAAATTTGAAATGGAATCATAATTTTAATAAGATAAGTCACTAGGGGGGAATGCTTTGAATTGGTAAATACCTAAAAAGACACCCGCTGTTACTTACAAAAGTATTCTCCTCAAGTTGCTATTACTTCAAAATTATAATTGTAAATAAAAGAAGTTGTATTAGGGAGTGCCCTTTCACAGAAATTTGTTTCTAAAAAAAAAAAGTTTCCAGCACTACATCAGAGAAATCTTAACATAAGTAAGTTTCTAAACTATGATGCCTCAGGGAAACTTTAGTTCTTAATTCTTCCCTACTCAAGTAATTTTAGTTTCTTGAGTGGTATGACTACTAATATCTTCAAAAGATACCTGTGGCAGGCAGCAGACCCAGGGCTACTGGCAAGACTGCCTGAAAACACACTCCTGTCCTCCCTCTGCCTGGCGTGACCGTGGCTGACAGAGTCGCGTTGAGATATAATGGGTTTGGGTTATTAGAAAGAGCTACAAAAAGGAGACTGTCTCACTTGTTTAAGGCACTGCAAGCTCACAACTGATGTCTGATGGACCCAAATTCATTATAATTATAGTATAATAATATTATATATCATACTATATAAAATAAATCTTATTATATAATATTATATATATTATGTAATTAACAGTTGATTAATTATCGACCTATTAATTAATTCTAAGACATACCAATATACTAAGTGGAACACATCCAAAACTTTCAGAAGGTATTTAACTAAACCACCAAATGGGAGATGAGCAGAATACAGTTATTTCTTTCTGTCTGGAAAAGGAAATAGGCAAGCTTTCAATAGAACTGATTCTGAAGGGAAAAAAAAAAAAAAAAAGAAAGCAGGAACAATATAAAGAATCAACCCATTATATTACGTTTAAAATTTCAGTGATGCGTATCTTACCTAGCTTTGGAAATACTATTAAATATTCCGCATTGCACTGAGGACAGGCCACTCGGGCAGTGCTGTTTCCTCTCTGCTTTTCATCCACCCAGCGCTGCAGACAGGTCTGATGAACCCACTTGGTGGAGCCCCTGCACCTGCAGGGTCTCACCCACTCTGCTGTCCGGTCGTCCTCATCTGTAGCAAAACAAACCCAGCAGCTTCTGCAATTACAGGAAGGGAAAAAAAAATTATATTTTTTTGCTACTTTTATGTGCTTACAATAAACCTTCACATGTGAAAGCATGCAGTTTTAGAAAATGTGCACCTAGAGGAGATGATGATTGTTGCTTCATTCTTAATCACCAAAAACGTGTTTTGTACCACAGTCTTGTTCTGCTATTAACATAATATTAAAGACGGCTAAGAAATGGCTTTTAATACATTCTGAATTATAAATCTAACTTTTAGATAATTATGAATTAAAAAGCATCAAAACTGTAGTTCAACCTCTGAACAATTCCACATAGGAAAAATCCATATTTTTTAAACGTATTATCATCTCCTTCTACAGCAGATATTTTGGTAAGTTTTTAAAATTAAAAATATAAGATCAATACAGTACTCCGTTACTTGGGAAACTAATCCACTTAAATGACAAAACAACACAAATGATATAATACATCACAAAACAAACCATAAATAATTAAATTCATTCCTTCTTTTTGAAAGGAGGAAGTACTTAGTTTATGTTACCCAAACGTGATTAATCTGAATGAAGTTTACAAAGTACTTCAAGAGCACTGTTATACCACTAGAGGAGGAAATTTCTGCACTGAAGAATTAGCTGAGTATGTAAGATTCAAATGCATTGATTCTATAAGGAGAAACTACAAGATTGACAGGCTGTGTGCCCTGAAGAGTCCTGGCCATTCTACAGGATCTAATCTAATGATTAGGCCAGACCCTTGAACACTTTACAACTTGCAAGAGAAAGTAAAATAGGGATCTAAACTAGGAAACTATCAGATGTGTTGACCCAATAATTTATTTTTTACTGTGAAATACTTTGCCATTTCCCATACTGAAGATATTGAAGTTTAAATAATAAAACTAGACTCTTAACAAAATAAGGATCTTACTACAAATATAATCTGGTTTGATATATTTTAAATATTTTATCCAAGCCATTGCAATCATAGTTAAACTTTTATAAAGTGTATGGCAACAGCATACCTATAATTTAACTATCCAGATACAATCCAATTAGACATTATGCACTAACTGAAGTTTTGCTGCATTATTTTGATGAAGTTTTGTTCTCTTGAGTAACGTCGTTAAGATGAAAGAGTAAAAGGCTTCTTATGCATAACCACTAACAGGCAGAAACTGAGATAGTAAGAAGCTCAGAAATGCTCTGGCACTACTAAATAGAATAATGTTGAGATTCAAGAATCACTATCATAGTTTCTGTAGGGTTCATGATGCTTTCCTCTCCCTCCCCCTGCATTTGTTGTCAGCGATAAACCTTCTTCCTAGCCTTTCAAACTCTTCAAACAATTATTTTGTTTCAGCTTCTCGAATACTCCTCACCTTTATTCCCTCCCCCCCTCATATTTTTTTGCTTCCGTTTGCCCTTTCAGCATCCCATCTCTAATCTTTGCTAGCATCTGGGAAGAGAAAGTATAGTTTAAAAGTCCTCTCCAACTCCAGCCATTTTGCCAGATAGCCATTTTCTTGTATGGAAATCAGTGATAAGTAGTTGTCAGAAAATTAACTTGACATCTTTATACTTTAACATATACATCCTGAAGGTCTTTCCTCTGCAGCCCTTCCAACACAAAACAAAGCTCGTAACTAACTAAAACACATTAGACAAAACTTAGAAGGGAATTATATGCACAAGAAGGGGGCCAGTCTGTTGTCTAACAGCTTCCTTTTATGACCTCACTACTTTGGACAGCATTCTATTATAAACCGAAAATGTTTCTCTACAGGAAAATAACCATGTTTTTTTAATAGGAATAATTGTGCCTATAAAATATTTGCAAGAGATTATTTAAAAGCACTGAATTCTTCTTCTGATTTAGTGGTGGAAGTATACTGAAATTAAGTTGCGAGTGTATAAAAGCAGAAGGTAGCCTGTAGCCACTTGTGTTCCTGAAAAGGAACACAATTTGAGATGCAGGTTCCAGGGAAGACTGCGGGAAAAGCAACTTAATATCAAACAATACATAAAGTCCAGTTGTAAGTACAGAATATAGTATAGTAGGTACAGACATAAATTTTTAGCACTGGTGCTGTAAAACTAGAACTGCATCAGTTCTGATTCCAGAAGCCTGTTCAGTTGGAAGACTGACATCTTGAATCAGAACTGCGATTTCTTCCATCCATCCCAATGGGAATGTAAAAGCAAAGCCTGACTTGCTTCTTTCTGACCTTCCTCACAGCATGTGATTAAGTCAGAATTGTCACACTACACACTCCTGTAACGCCATCCCTCTCTTCACCCTCATGCTGCCGAAATGCACCTGCAGCAGCCCTGAAGGAGAGGACACACTGACCTTCCTCAGCAGGAGGAGGACAGGCAGCCCAGCCCAGCCAGAGCAGGCATGGAAATGCTGAGACCACCACGAAGATTTGAAAGTATGATGAAGCATGGCAGACACTGTGATTCATTGCACTTGATATCTAGGAGCTCTTAAGGAATGCAAGTTCTTGCAATGCTTATTGATTTCCTGTTTACACCAAGAACCCCCAAATTTACTGTAAGAACAACAATACAATACAACTCTAACAATAGTTGTTCCCCTTTGACAGTTTTTTGCTGCATTGAAGGTAAACGTTCACTCATTCATTCCATATCCTAATTAGGTCTACAACTGCTCTAAGTATGTAAGTTAGATTTTTATTTTTAAACTAAAGGCTTCACAATAGAATTAGTTAGGTCTGTGGGTGCCAGTAAGGTCCGATGCCACCACACCACAGAAGTCTATGAACTTTATTCAAATAGTGACAGATTTAAGCATTAACATAATCTTGCTACACTGCAATTTTAGCTAGGGAATTTGTCCATGAATACTTGGTAGATTAAATGCTCTTCAAGTTTTCTGTTAAGGATAATAAGTCAAGAAAAATATGCATCTTCTCTTTAATTGCTTCATTCAATTTCTTGCCAGGCAATCATATCTGAAAACCTGAAAGACCCATGAAAAGAAATACAGAATCCCTTACAGACTGAAACCTTTAGCAAGTCATGAATAATGAACAGTAAATTCCTTGTATTCTGTCATCAGCTTTATCTCTTTCCATTGACAGCAGCTATAGCAGAAAGGGCTAAATAAAACCATTTCAAAACAAGCATCTTGGCTCTTGCCAGATTTTCCATTTTCTTGTACTAAATAAAATATGACCTTGATTCTTACCACTGAATCAGGTTGCTGCTCAGATAACCTGAAATAGAAAAGGCTGACAAGGTGGAACAAAGCATTGTTTCTGACAAACTCAAACCTTTTTCCTTGATGACTTTCTACAGAGCCAAATCAATAACACTAATGTATTTTTCCACACTTACTTGGCTTGGGAAAAGAAAAATAAAATCAAAACATACACAAAAAAAAAGCCAATATCATTGTTTCAGCTTTGAATATAGGGTTACAAATGCCTTTTAGATTCAGTTCCCCAGCGTCTAATGCCCTCTGGTCTCAGAAATTCTATTCTGACTCTGAGAATAACGCATTTATCACACCTGTTTTTTTTCTCTACCAAAGGCAAACTCTTTTCAGAACATTGCATATGTTAAGAGCAAAAGGGATGGGGAGGAAGTTGCATTAAAGACTAGGGATCCTGCACTCCAAATTCTCTATGACTGATCTAGAAAGCCAAGGCCTGCCCAAGAATAAGTTTCTCCAAAGGAGTTTCTAATCAGCGAGGATGCCACTCTCTCCTGTACCTGGTTGGACTTACAGGTCCAACACACTGGTAAGATCTTCTGGCATCAGACGTACCTCCAGCAGACTGCTTTCCTTTTCATTGTGTTACACTCCTCCTAAAGCTTACTTTTTTCCCCAAACCGGTCTTACATGGGAGAGAGAACAAGATCTAATTCATGTTATTTAAATTAAATCTGCCTCAGTGGGAGCTGAATTAGTGGTGGGTTTGGCAGTCTTAGGTTTATGATTGAACTAGATGATCTAAAAGGTCCTTTCCAACCTAGATGATTCTATGATACAGCTTTGCTTTCAAGCAGGCACAAGTATGTGAACAATACAAAAAGGCAACTTAAAAGCAGTACATTAGTTATATATATACACTACACAAGTTTGCAGAAATCTTTAATGCCCCAAGCCCAGCAGATATCCTTGTGTCCCCAACACATCATGGAAGAGACCTTGTGAGACTGGAACAGCACAACTGCTTCATAAGCTGGTTTGAAATATTCAGTACTGCAAGAAAAAGGCAAAAAGTCCTGGAATTTTTTCCCCTAATGTTCAGTGGCACCCACGTATGAACAGGAGGCAAAACCAGAAAACTTCCGAGAAAAGAAAATTCTTGCAGGACTTTTAGCAGAACCTAACCCCTACCATGGGAAATGTGAATTTGATCATGCATGACGTGTTCTACCGCCATAAGCTAAAAAGCATTTTTCCTCTCATTACAGGTCCTTCATAAAATATAAGAAACCTCTTTAAGAAAACTTTTCTGCATTTCTCCCACATCATAAAGCACACTGCTTTCCCCAAAAGCAACAGGAACTTCCTGATATTTTCCTATCAGAGTTCTGCTTATATTAAGTGACTGAATGGCTTTTTGCAATTGAATTTCACACCCAAAAAGAAAAAAAGTGAAAAGGCTGAAACATAACTGATAGCAATGACAGCAGAGAGCCAATGCAGTGAGGGGTGAAAACGTCTCTTGGAAGAAATGATGGAAAGCACTCAATAATTGGCCATAAAAAGGCACTGTTCCAAAGGATGCCCCACAAATCTGCTGCTTGGAAAAGGCAATTTTTCACAAGCTTCTAAAACAAATTTTTATGCATAGTCTACACTGACAGATAAAATATCTTTGGTGAAGAATAGTGATGAGCTTCCTCTAAACCTGCCAACTATGCTTTAAATGCTGTCCGATCATGTTTAAGTGAAAAGACCAGGATCTTGGAAAAATCAAGGGAGTTACTCAGCAGCATACGACACAGGCTGCTTGGAGCTGCCTAGAATTTCAG